GGTGAAAAATTATAAAATAAATTACAAAAGTGTATAGAATTAATACATGATGTAGAGAAAGATAAGGTTCCACTCCCATCTTTCATAATATTGGAACTCTGTTACGAGGGGGTACTAATAAGTATTGAGCCTTTCCCAGAAAAAATTGAGCTAGGAAGCTATACATTGCAGGGTGTATTGGCCAATTTGTCTGTATTCAATGGTGCAAAAATCAACTACCTATGATTTTAACTTATCTTTCATGTTCAGGTCCAAAGTGAACATGGCAGCACCTCCAGAAAAGTTCAGTGTGGAAGAGCATAGGACCATAATCAAGTTCCTGTTTCTCCAAGGGAAAGGTGCAAAGCAGACCCATGATGAAATGTCACAAACTATGGGTGATAGTGGTCCCTCATATGCAACAGTTAAACATTGGGTTGTCAATTTTAAAACTGGCCATTTCGGTGTTGAAAGTGAGAAACCCAGTGGAAGGCCTGTTTCTGCCTCTGTGCCTGCAAATGTGAAAGACATCCATGACATGATCATGGAGGACTGCCGAATATCAGCCAAAAGTATTGCTATATATCTGAGAAGATCACATGAGAGAGTTGGTGCCATTATCCACAACCACCTGAAAATGAGAAAACACGCAGCAAAGTGGTTCCCCAAACTTTTGACAACCGAACAAAAGAGGAAACATGTGGAGTCATCAGTGGCTGTTTTGGAACATTTTCAAAGAATTGAGTCAGATTTCCTGGGCAAACTGGTAACTGGTGATGAGATATGGATCTACTGTTATGATCCTGAGACAAAGGAACAGTCTAAGGAATGAAGGCACAGTGGTTCCCCCAGGCCAAAGAAGTTCCGAGTGCAAAGGTCGGTGCATAAGCAAATGGCAACAGTTTTTTGGGGATAAGAAGGGAGTTCTGCTGGTGGACTACCTCCAACAGGGGTCAACCATCAATGCAAAATATTACTGTGCTTTATTGATGAAGCTGAAGCAAAACATCAAGGAAAAACGTCGAAGAAAGCTCTCCAAAGGTGTCATCCTGTTGCATGACAACGCCTCTTCACACACTACAGGTGAAACAATGGCAAAACTGACATCCTTAGGCTTTCAAATGATGCCCCATCCACCCTGGCCTGGCTCCTTCAGACTATTATCTGTTTCCCAAACTCAAAAAACACCTAAAGGGACAACAATTTGGGAGTGTTCTGGAGGCAACTAATGCTGCAAATGAGTGGTTACACAAGCAGTCTGAAGAATTTTATTTGCAGGAACTTAAGAAACTGCAGGACAGATGTCGCAAGTGCATTGACTTCCTGGGGGAATATGTAGAATAGTGTGGCAGTTAAAGCTTCCTAGCTCATTTTTTTCTGAGAAAGACTCAATACTTATCAGCACCCCCTCATAAATACTGGCTTCATGACTCCAAGTTGTAAATCAACATGCCTTTATTCAGCATTTCTAGGCAATAAGATAAGACGAAAAATGCTGAGTAAAACACACGTGCACATTTATACACCACTCACCCAAGGAACCATGCCACTCCCACTAATTACCTGCAGCTGGCCAACAATCCAACAGCACAGGCATGGCTTCATGACTCCAAGTTGTAAATCAACATGCCTTTATTCAGCATTTCTAGGCAATAAGATAAGACGAAAAATGCTGAGTAAAACACACGTGCACATTTATACACCACTCACCCAAGGAACCATGCCACTCCCACTAATTACCTGCAGCTGGCCAACAATCCAACAGCACAGGCAACAATTGCTCCCACTGCTACACTCACTACAATGGTGTCTCGCTGTACGATTGCCCCGCATTACGACGAAACCTCTTAACAATGATCTTTTTGCGATCGCAATTGTGATCACAAAACAATGGTCTGAATGGGGGAATTTCGCTTTGCGATGATCGGTTCCCTGCTTCGGGAACCGATTCTTCGCAAAACAATGATTTTTAAACAGCTGATCGGCGGTTTCAAAATGGCCACCGGGTAACTAAAATGGCTCCCTGCTGTGTTTAGGGATGGATTCCTCACTATACAGGCAGTTAAAAGGGCCGCCATATGGAGGATCTTCGCTGGACGGTGAGATTTTACCCCATTGGAACACATTGAACGGGTTTCAATGCATTTCAATGGGGTTTTTATTTTCGTTTTACAATGTTTTTGCTTAACGGCGATTTTCCTGGAATGGATTATCGTCGTTAAGCGAGGCACCACTGTACATAAGAAATTCAGACTCAGGAGAGAGAGAAAAAGGTATTTCTTTAGATAGCCACATTGTTAAATTATGACGTTAGTATGGTATGGTGGTGAGTCACTGACAAGATAGCATTACAAATATTAGCCAAATTAATTGAGGATAAAGATACCAATATCTACGAGTCATGATGGAAGTACCGTATTTTTCCGTGTATAAGATGCCTCCATGTATAAGACGCCTCCACTTTTCTAATCCAAAATTAAGAAATCTAAGTGGGGCTTAGCAAGGGTGGAGGGGAGGGATCAAAGTGCTGCAGGATAGCTTTGATCCCTGCTTTCCCTCCACTTGTTTTTGTTATCTTCTCAGCTTACTTCCGTGTATAAGACGACCCTCAATTTTTAGTCTAGAAATGCGGTACTGATCTACCCTAGTTCCAGTATTAGAGGCAATGTGCTTATTGCTTTTGAACTAGTTAACTGGGAAACAAGTGTGGAAGAGGCGTCTGGTTGGCCACTGTGAGACACAGGATGCAGGACTAGATTGATCTTTAGTGTGATCCTCAGATCTCTTATTTTACACAGGGACATCATGACAAGGGTGTTAAGTATTGTTCTTGTTGTTATGTGCCGTCAAGTTGCCCTCCCAGCTTATGGTGACCCTGTCAATGAGCAATTCCCTAAATGTCCTGTCCTCAACTGCCCTGCTCAGTTTCTGTAAACTCAAGTCCACGGGTTCCTTTTGAGAGTCAATCCATCTCATATTTGGTCTTCTTTTCTTCCTGCGTTCATCCTTTCCCAGCATTATTGTTTTTTTTCCCCCAGAGAATCCTGCCTTCTCATAATGTGGCCAAAGTAAGGTAGCCTCAGTGTCAACATTTTTGCCTCTAGAGATAATTCAGGCTTGATTTGATTTAGGACCCACTTGTTTGTTTTTCTAGCCTTCCAGGCTATCTACAAAATTCTCCTCCAGCACATTTCAAACAAATCAATTTCTCTTCTTGTCAGTTTTCTTAACTGTCCAGCTTTCACACCCATACATCCTGATCTGAAATACTGCATGTGTTTTTAGATGAGACCTGTGGAGCTCAAGGAGCAAAAATTGATCAGCCACTTTCTTTTCAGAACCAGAGTGCCAGAGTGCTCTTACTAGAGTATATAATTTGAGCTCAAGTCTGCCTGAGTTCAGGGGGCCACAGATTGCAGTCGTATCTTTGAGTAACCCCCATTGAACCAAATGAGACTTACTTCTCTGAGTAGAAATATACTGAACTGCAATGTGACTCACTAGGAAGAGTGTTCAGGACTGTAACCATACTAAGGTATAACCGTTCATTATTAGCTCTGAGGTAGGAGTGTTGCAATGAGAAAGGATAGGGAGCACTTATCATCATTGTTCCAATTCTTTTTTGCAAAAGCTACAAATGGCAGTTGCTCTTTCTTTCACTAGCCCTCTGTCTCTGGGGTGACACAACAGGAAGAATTTGGTTCAGCATCCAGAATCATCATCACTGTGATGTGCAGGGGGGGGGGAATTCAGATAATTAACTGAGAGGATCAGGTGACTGTTCCTCCCAGCAGAATTCCATATCCTGTATCTCATACAGACAGGGTGAGTAGCTGCCTGTACAGCACTCCTTTCCCAGGCAGTACCACAGGTTCATTTAACCCTGCCAGAGTACTCAAAGACAGTGAACAAGAGGGAGAAGTTGCTACCTTATCCTGCTTCCCTCTGCACACCCCAAATCATGCCATAAACACAGAAGATAAGCCTGCAAGAAACACTGGCTATGTCTTGCAGGAACAGTCACTGTCTTCAGATGGTCACTCATCATCATCTGATGGGAGGGACTGGGTCAAGTGATAGGCACCACTTCCTTCCAATTGTGCATTTTTCTCTTCTGCTTAGAAAGCTGTTCTATGGCCCTCCGGTGTTGCTGTAGTTCCTCTGGGCCCTAGCTGATAATTGTGAAAGATTATGGAAATTGTCTAACCAGATCTGGAGGGCCACTTTTACACTCATGCTATCTTCTGGCACATGCTTTCAGCAGGAGTCGCAAGATTTAGATAGGCCGAGGATGCAACCGCACATCCCACCAGTCTATGGACCTGTGTTCTACCATGACAGAAACAAAAAGGCTCGTTTTTCTTAGAGACAACTACATGCTTATAGGTGTTTTGCAATTATATAGCATACCTTATGTATAGATACCTTATAATATAGTTATGTAAATGTTATCATTTGTGGATTAGGGGAATTGGTGTACTACCAGTATTTCAAAAGGTGAAATGGACAATTCACTGGTTTGTCAAATGGCTTGTCAAACTTGCACGGGGGTGGGGGTGAGGATTAAAAGACGGGATGAAAACCCTCCATCCGACCAGTGCTAGATGTGCCACTAGTTGAGAATCACTGCTCTAGGTACTGTAGTACCGTGGGGGCCCAAAGAGAACGAGCAAAAACATAAGCACCATTTTCTCCCTTCTTTTCCACGCAGAGCGATGGTTTGGGGGCCTAGGAGGAACTGCTTGGCTAGAGGGGAGCCTCACCCTTGGCTCTTTTCTCGGCGGTGCTACAGGGCAAAGAACAGGAAAGAGGTTGCTCTTTGCCGTTGATTTATTTTTTAAAAATATTCCTCCTCGCCCAATGGGCTGCTTTTCTTGCAAAACAGCAGTGACCTTTTTTCCCAAACCCGTTTGACGTCACCCGGAGGGTTAGGCCCTAAAAGCAAGCTTCCTTGGGACCAGGCCATCCTCGTTTTTAGAACATACAGAAAACATAACTCGCTCTACGTTGCTGTGCCAGCCCGACCGTTTCTTTTGGGCGGAAATCACTAAAGGGGGAGAGGAGAGGAGAAGAGAGCAACCCCAAAAGCTTGTATACGTTTTGGAAGGGGCTTTTTGGGCCGGAGGGAGCTCCGCCTGGGCCAGGGCAAGAAACTGCGGCGGGGACGGGCTGGTGCAGCTGCAAAAAGAAAGAAAAGGGGAAAAAAAGGCGGCCACGGGAGAGGGAGATGGGGGGGAGGGGGAAACTGCTGGGCTGAGAGGAGTTTCTCCGAAGTTTTCCCCCGCATAAACGAAGAAGGAGGGGCAAGAAGTTTCTCGGTGGGCCTCCAAGGAAATGCCAAGGTAAGGGGACTTCGGGCTTTTTTTTGTTTTGTTTTTGTTTACCACGCCTCTCGTGCTTTCCAGAGGGCCCGTGAGAGTTCGGGAAAGGGGGTGTCGTTCACACCCGCCCTCCGTTTTTTCCCCTCTCGTGTACGTGCCTGGGGGGGTGAAAAACAAAACAAGGGACACAGGGTTTGGAAGCGAAAACCCCGCGCTGTGCTATCGAGCAGCAAAGCTGTCGGGCGCTGCTTTCGGAGTGGCGCCATCCCCCCCCCCTTCCGCAGCCCTTTGCCTCCCAGCAAGTTCGACGGGTGTATATATATATATATATGTCTGTGGGGGGGGGAGTGTTATGTGCGCATAAAATCCATTTGAAAGCCTTCATTTGTTTGTTCCTCCAGGGTCGTGTGTTAAGTCTCGTCGAAAAGGGGAGTGCGAAGCTCTCTGTTACTCGGAGGAGAGAGCTGGCAGATGTCCCAAGCGAGAGAACCTCTTCCTCCGGGGCCTGAAGGGCCAGAGCGTGGAGCGCCGGCTGGAAACTGCTTTTTGATCTCGCTCCCTCGAGGTAAGTTGCGTGAAAGTTTTCTTTCGAAGCGCAGCGACGGCTTAACAGCTGAAATGGTGCAGCTGTGGCTGGGTTTTGTGTCTTGCAGGAGCGGGTTGGTTTTTCCAGCACAGGAGAGCTTCTCCCCCTTTTCGCGTTGGAGGAGGAGGTGGTGGTGGGTGGTGGGGAGTTCTTCAAGACAGTCACGAAATGATGGAGTCGCTGCTTCATGTCGCGTTGCCCTTCTCCAGTTTCAAAATAGTAAATGGATTCAGAAAATTAGAGCTCCTCTCACTGCCTTCCCTTTCTGGCCTTTTGTTTATTGCCACTTTTGCCTACGCCTCCTAGATGCTTTAGGCAGGCTGAAGAATGCAGGATATGTGCTCAACCTCGCTTGCCTTGTAAGGCAGCTATAATTCTTTGAAACTCTCAAGTTTTTTTTTGGGGGGGGGCAGTATATGTCTGTGGATTGGGGCTTCTCTTCCCTGTCCCCGTTGGCAAGTATATTGGTATGGACAATTGATCCAGAGCACTTAGCGTTCTTCCACTCTTCCTTGTGGATAGAGTGTGTGTGAGGGGTTATTAGGTTCCCAAAATGCTAACTTTACCTCCTCTATAACTACTGATTAAAAACTGAAACTACTATGGTGATGTTCCTCTGTGTCACATGGTAATATTCTTGTTTATGCTCAGCCCTCCCTGGCTTGTTAGAGAAAAGTTGGTTAGGGATACTCTGTTCTATGAACTTAAGAGACTGTTCAGCTTTTTCTTGCATGTAATAGTGTGGCTATTTCTTGACTTGGATTATTCTGTTTTTACTGTGTTTGATTTCAAGAATGTAACATGGTTCTGCAACTGTCCAGTATATATACTGGACAGTTGCAGAACCATGTTACATTCCTGAAATCCAGCATAGTAAAAACAGAAGAACACCTCCCACCCCCTTTTGCTGTCTGTTGTAACACCAAAGCAAAAATATTTATCCTACTGTTAACTCCAGTACATAAGTGGGCCCTGATTATTATATATATGGCTTAACCCCTTCCCAATGTGTTCCTAATAATCAGGGCCCACTTAGTACTGGAGTTAACAGTAGGATAAATATTCCCCACTGCAGGGGAATATTTTTGCTTTGGTGTTACAACAGACAGCATAAAGGGGGGGGGGAGAGGTGTAACTTTTTTGTTGAGATTGTGGGTGGGAAGGAAAGGGTAAAAATATGTCATACCCCACTTGTTGGAATTCTACTGGCAGTCAGGGCCCATGTGGCAAGAATTGCATTTTTAAAAAACCCTGATGTGTCTTGAATATGTATTTTCATCCAAAAGTGAGTTTACCCACTTTGGCTGTTGTACCTGGTGTTTTTTTCCCCCCTTTTTCTTTCAAATTTGGTCCTCTCTGTGTTTATTTCTGACCTCATCCAGGAATAGGAAATGTGTGGCTCTCATAATGTTTCTGGACTGTAGCACCATTATTCCTCACTATTGGCTCTGCAGGCCAGGTTGAAAACATCTGTAGGGCTTGATGTAATTTGTGCTCTAGTCCATGCTTCCAGACTTTCTGGATCTGGTTGCTTTTTTAAAGGATTAAGAAACTTCTGCTAGTGTAAAATACTGTTGCGGGATTACTGTCTGGGAAAGACCATCTGTTACTTTATTGCTTTCCTAAAGGTGCACTACTAGCTGTCTCTTTGTTTCTAGGCTAGCTTTAAAAGTGATATCTATCACTCTTTGGACTTGGATATGCTTCCAGATGTGCTTCATTTAACATACAAGGCCTTGCTATGGGTGTTGTTGTCTTTTGAAATTTGGTGGATGTTTGCTAGGGTTAAGGCCTTTTTAATAGTGAGTTGCCTTCTCTAAATAGATCCAATGGGCCATAAAACCATTTTTTTCCAGATTGCTATCCAAAATTTACTTATTTCAGGAGATCTTTGGCTAAATACTGATTTTTCAGTATTACTACTGCTTCTATTATATACTTGTTTATTAGTATTGTTGGTGCAGGGGGCACACCAAAGAGTTAAGCCTAAAAATTAGGAGTTGTGCCTTAAAATTTATGTGAGAGGTGACATATTTCCAAAATCACTTGTTTTTGGATTTGAGGAAGCAAATTAGCTGCTGTTGTCATTACAGTTGCTGCTGGTGCTGCTGCCATTTCTGCTATTGTTGCTTGGAATAGTTTTCCAGTTTTATTTTTCTGCTTTTGTGCATCAGCAATAAAAAAGCCCCAGATAGATTAAAACCTTAGTGTTTATGTGTTACTGTCCTAGGACAACTCGAGCAGTGTTTGTAAACTGAAGCAGCTTAATGATTTCTTTCAGTGTGTGAGTCTTGACTTATTTTAACACTGTGGAAATGCAAATTGTTTCGGGGGCATAAAGTGTTCTGTGTGCAGTCAGAGGTAACTATCACACTGATGTGTGAAAAAAGTGGAGGATTGTAACCTTTATTAGGACATGACTACACATTGAGAAAAACTCAAATTAACACATTGAGGAGTTGCATTTGGGAAGTCTGGTTTTCCCATGTTAATCTACTTTAACTGGCCACACAGGGAGAGAGGAGGAAATTGACAAACAGTCCTGTTTGCAGCTTGTTGAGGTAGCTCTCTGTAGCTCTCCTGATTTGCAGGAGAACTGTCTTAATAAACTGTAAACAAGGGCTGAGTGGCAATTTCTTCTTGCTCCCTTCCTCCCTCTCTCTTTTGGGAAGAGGTTGGTGTCTGGCACAGCAGTGCTGCCACCACTCCTCTAAAAAATTGGCTTTATTTGCAAAGATCCAGCCCTCATGTTTTATCACTCCCCTAGCCTCCATGTCATCAGAGCAACCACCATCAGGCGTGTGCACACACTTTTCTGCATTAGTTCATGAGATCACACTACCTGAATAGATTTGCTGTTAAAATAAGTAGAAGCCCTAACATCTACAGGGAACAAGGAAGTCTGGGCTGATTCACATTGACTTTTACAGCATGTGGTCAATGGAAAAAAAAGGGAACCAGACCGTCCAAATCCCATAGCATTTCCTGCATTATATGTCTATGCAGTCACACCCTTAGACCACTAACCACACAAATGTGTTAGTTTTCAAACCTGTCAGGGCTCTTAATCAGGCTGGGTGTTACAAAGTTGGGGAAGTGCAGAAGAAAAAAAATGGACAGATGTAGCAGCCAAGCTCTTTTGTTTAAATAATAATAATAATAATAATAATAATAATAATAATAATAATAATAATAATGATGATGATGATGATGATGATGATGATCCATCAAGTCAGTTCTGACTTGTGGTGACCCTTTTCAGGGTTTTCAAGATAGAGAATACTCAGAAGTGATTTACCATTCCCTTCTTCTGGGGACACCCTGGGATTGTGCAGTTTGATGAAGGCCACACTGACTGGCTATACTTATGGAAGGCGCAGTGGGGAATCAATCTCTTAACTTCTGGCTCTGCAGCTAGATACCTGAACCACTGAGCTATCTTATGGAGAAGCTCATAGCTCCTTTTTGGCTTGGAATAGAAGCATTGAGAAATGTGGCAAACTGCATATCAGAGAAGTTTGGGGTAATATTTACTATTTTACAAACTAGGTAAGACATGGTCAGTTGCACTCAGATTGAAGAGTCCTGCAGCACTGAACAGCTGGCACCTAATTGTGATATTTTAGTGGTCTAATAAAAGCATCACCTTGTTTTTGGATTGAGCACAATGACCACATGGCTTTTTTACTTTTTGAGTGAAGTCATTCCTATTGGAAAACAACCTGTCTTGCTCTTCTCTTTATGACAGGCAAAACTGTTTATGTTTTTCTGAGGTTTTTAGGTACAGCTTTCATAAGAGATGGGCATATTTGCATTTATGGATTGCAATAATTAGGATTCATGGCTGTGCTGCCTGAGGAATTCTGGGAGATGTTGTCCAAAAATTAAGCACTATTAAGCACACCTCTACTTTTGATCTTATTGACTCTTCTGTGGATTTTGTGGTGTTCAGCTTATTACCTTTTTTGTTTGAAAACTACTTTGGGAATATGATTGAAGGGTAGTATAAACATTCTAGCAATAATAATAACTTGAGAGACTCACTGGAAAAAAACTATTCCATAAACTGATTCAGAAGAGAGTCAGGAAATAAAAAACTGCAACCAGACTTGTTGATCATTATGTGTTGCAGGATTTTGTAGCAATCACCAACCACCTCCAATCTGTTCAGTTTTTAATTGGCAGGGCGAAGCACTAGTTTCCTTTCCATCCCAAACAGTACTCTTGGTACAAGTAGATGCCCATTCCTAGAAATGCTAATTCAGATGATAAATGATGAATTGAAATTCACAATATTAAATTTATTTATCACATTTGCAATTATACCCTGCCTTTCTCCCAGAACTGGAAATCATGACAGCTTAAAAACAAGATTAAAAAGAAATAATGAAAAATGAGCTAAACCATAAAAGCAAGATTAAAAACAAGTTCAATGAAAAATAGTAAAAGAAAACCTCCTCTACTAGTTTGCCCATCAAAAAGCCCCACCCCTTTTCAGCAACCAGTCAGTTGCCAAAAGCCTGCCTAAAGTATCATCATCTTAGTTACAGAGGTATGTGCCGGCAAGAGAGAACACCAAAAAAGATGGGATGAGAGATTTAGTTTTCCTTAGCAGGGAATTCCAAATCCTCTCATGGGCCAAAGAGGAGACCTCCTGTCTCCTCTTTACCAAACACACTTATGTAGATGCTAGAACCAGACCAAAGAGCCTGTGTAGGTTCTTCAGATAGTTTGTACCCAGATGATCTGATTCTATTTCGTCAGATAGTTTGTCCAAAGGGAACTCTTATAAAAGTGTCCCATTCATTGCTAATGGTTTGGATACTCTTCCTGCCATTCAGTTGATGCAAGACTTGATCAGTTAGTTGATGCAAGGCTTGATCCAATGCAGTGGTCCCCAAACTTGGGCCCCCAAATGTTCTTGGACTTCCACTCCCAGAAATCTTGGCCAGCACAGGTGATGGCGAAGGCTTCTGGGAGTTGTAGTTCAATAACATCTGGAGGCCCAAGGTTGGGGACCACTGCTTTAATGGATCAGTAATATCCATGCCTTTTCCCATTGTTCCATGCTGTGGTTTATTTTGTTCTGGGATTTTTCAGGGAGGGGGTGGAATTTAGTGTTGCACTCCTTTCTAGAGAGTTCATTTCTGTATGGGAATCTTGAAGGTTGTAGATAACATAACATTTTATCAAAAGAAATAGTGAAGCTGCAGCAAAGAGAAAGATTTCTAGCCAGGATTTTAAAGATCTGCCAAAGAAATTGAATTTCTGGACATGGCTCTTTAAAATTCACTGTAGACGCAAATTCTGATAATCCCTGCCATCAACCAAGAGACACTGGGACCAAGAGATAGTCGAACTGTTGCCCTCTCTAGACAAGTCCTAAGGACATGAGTTTTTGTTTCCTGGGACAAGGAGGCAAGTCTAAAGTTTTTGCTGGGTGAAAATAAACCTTAACACTCTGCAGTGTGTGATGATTCTGCCTGTGGCTGCTTTATATCTCTTTTAAATTCAACCAGGTGAGTAGTTAAATGGCTATAGTCTCCTCATCCAATTCAGCAGTTTTGTTAGCCTTTGTAAAAGGAAGCTAAGCAGGAGCCAATATATCTGTGAAACTTCTACTGAGAGAGAACTGCCCATCTTCTTTACAGTGGATGGATGTGGTTGGAGGACATGCTTGGCTGTATCCCAAAAACACTCGTGGTGAGTCATCACTCAATTGTTCTTCAGTTTCCTGAGTGCTTCTTTGAGTTTGCACTGAACGGAGATTTGAAGAACTAGAACAAATTGATGCCATAATCCAGTTATTTTCACATAGTGTTCTTATATTCATCCCATGTTATCAGTGTTGCAGTTGGAAGAAAAGTGGTGTTCAATGTCTTAGGTAGTTATCTGTAATATGCTGAATGTTTTTTTTTTCTTTTAGTGTGAAGAATAATTGATAGGTAGAAAAAAAATTAGCAGTTTTGTAAAAAAACATTTTAGTATATCTTTCACAAAAATAAATTAGACTATAATTCTAAGTTAGTAATCATAAAATTTAGTGGAACAAGAGAGGAAATATAAATAGGCATCCTAATTTAGAATAGCACACATTTTTCTCAATTAAATGTTTGACATTTTTGTCTTGGTTGTTCTGTGACAGAAATATCAGTAAGCTGATTTTATTAAGACCTTAAGTTTCACAATCACTCTCATTTCCTCAGATCCTCTATTATGCTCTACTGGTAAATGGGCTTAGTATTATGAGTAATAGTATTTTTACTCATTTACTTGCTTTACCATTGAGCAACTTACATAGATTTCTCAGAAAATCTTCTTGAAAGTGATGAGTAATGTATTCTGACAAGTCTTTTGCATATCTGATGTTATACTCTTCATTTCAGTTCTAACATAGCTCTGTCTTTATTCATATCAACTAAGAAAAGGCAAAATTCGTGAGAGATTTGCTGAAGTGGTAAAGTCAGGAAGCTCTGCATTCAGTTTCATAAGTATAATTCAAGTTAACAATAAATGTGCATCTGGCAATGCCATGTATATATCTGAAGTCTTGATATAAACTGTTGTCTAGCATCTGCTTTTATTGTAGCCCATCTTTATAGTATTTTAAAAAGTCTTATCTTCTGATATAGATTCCGGTTGTAGTTTTTTTTGCACCAGAATCTACAACCTTCTGGTAGAGCAGGAATGAGGAACAATGAGAAGTTTTGTACAAGCAAAATCATGAATGAGCTTCAAACTCTTTTGCGCCCATTGCTGTCTAAGCACATATCTTAGTTTTAGTCATCTGAGAAGCCATACATTTTGTAAGAAATAAAATAAAGTCTGTTCTTTAGATGGAAATAATCTTGATTCTAACAGGAGTACAGAACCTCTGGTTCACTATCTGCATTCAGCCTGTAATCAACCCCTTAGCCTTGCCACTACATGTCAGTTAGACTTGAAAGAAGCATTTAGCAGGAGACTATACAGTATTTGGGGCCTGATGGTTACATGGAAAAGAAGCTTGGGTGAGGATGCAGCTAGTAAGGAAAGAGTGGGCCCTTCCTCACATGCTGTCATTACTAGAAGGATCTTCCGGTCCTTAACACCTAGCAGCAAAGATTGGACGTGGGATCGTGAGTAAACTTGACCTCCAGCGTAGAAATATTTTTAAAATGGAGAAAAACAAATTGATAAGGTTTTCGGCGAGGTAGTAGCAGCAGGTTTTGAATAAAAGTGTCATGTCCATAAATCATTATGCCACTGTTTTACTGTAGACGGAATCAAGAGTAGCTGTCTTAATGTCTTAATGCAAGGGCTTATCTAACCATTATGTTGTGCCTGTGGCAAGCTGATGTTATATAGGGACCTCTTCCATGAGTTACAGGACCTCCAGCACTGTTTGAAAAATGGATCTTCCAAAATGTATCGAGACATGAACTGCAAGATAATGCCAGTAGAATACAGTGCTTATAGGAAAAAAAATCTCCATGTGTTTTGTAGGATCTGTCTGGCACATTGCAGTAGATTTTGGTATGGCAGGGAGAGTCAAGGAAGTTACTGATAAAGAAGCAGGTTGAGATGAGCTATTAGGTGTACTGTGAAAAAAAGGGTGAGTGATACCTTTCTTAGACCACTAAGATATCAACTCTGCAGATATTTCAGCTGTATAGGAAGCTAGCTTTCAACTCTACAGGAGTCTTCATCAGGCTGGACATTACAGAGCTGGTGGTACAGAAGACATAAATGTTGCAAAATCCATGGCAGGTGTGTGTGCCTGGGTTCCTTATTTAAATCAGCCTCCAGAATGGGGGATGCAGAATGAACTCAGTGGTGGTTGGCTTTAGATTTTAATGCACATACATCTGGCAGAGTGCATTAGAATGTCCCTCCCAGTCTTGTTGGACAAAGGCTTGCCAAAGTTTCTTTCCACCATGCTCAGCCTGATGAGTCTCCTCCTGTAGAGCCGAAAGCTAGGTTGTACTTGTGATAGTGGAATAGTCTAATAAAGTTTATCATAAATCTTTGTTTCCAGCTTGTGAACAAGGAGCACACATTTTGTTTCTCTAACATGTATACTAATTCTCAGAAGGGACCTTATCTTGAAAATTCTGCTTTACAGCTAGGCATGACTGGGCTTTTTAGGCTTAAATTTGGCAAGTGTGATTACTTTAGAAAGGGACTTGGAGAAGAATATAGTTTTCCTTAAGCTAGTAAAACTATTATATTTATATAATTTTTTTAAAAACATGGGGTGTTCACTGTTGTGGTCTTCAGTTAGCCTTAATCTCTTTGCCACTGCTTACTCTTTCACTTTTAGCTGTACATTGAACCACAAACAATTTATAATAGAAGTTTTGGGAAATTCTTAGTGGTAAAGTACTTTATAAGCAAAAGCGTTCATATTGTTAAATTTATAACTGTAACTTAATCTTTGTTGTTGTTCAGAGAACTATGATGGAGACAGAACATCTTTAGGAGAGACAACTGTAACAAATCCTTCAGATAACCAAAGTGAAGCATCAGATACACAAAACCAGCCTGTCTGGGGAAGTTGCACTGATGATGACCTCATCAGAAGTAAGTATTTCCACAACTAATTGTTGCCATTCAGATTTGCTACAAGACTGTTGATCTTTTTAAATCTATGTGTGTAAAACTACAATGCGTATCTGAATTTTTCCCCCTAGGATATTACTTTTATCATTCTTCAGCATCCAAAAGTAGAAGCCACAATACAAACAAGCTGTTTTGGTGACATGAATAAATGTGCCTTATCAGGGAGAGATTCTATGTTGCTGTTGTTGTTATTTTAAAGTGTCTGTAATGCTTTTTTTTTCCAATTAATTGAAGGCATAGTGCACTGGTTCTTAACCTTGGGTTACTCAGGAGTTTTGGACTGCAACTCCCAGAAGCCTTCACCACCAGCTGTCCTTTGTTATTATTTTAAAGTGTCTGTAATGCTTTTTTCCCCAATTAATTGAAGGCATAGTGAATGGCTGTAGTAATCAACAGTCCTGAGAACTTGGTCTCAAGTGTTGTATACACATAATAAAAGAAAGAATGAGTATGTGTGCATGTGTGAGAGATATGGAGTAGAAAATATCGCAAGGGACTCCTTAGAGAACCAGGTCCTGAAATTTCCAAACATGAAGCAAATGAAACTCCAGAAATGCTGTGTGTGGCATTTCTCCCGAAAGAACCATGAGCTGGAGGGAGGTAGAATCTAACTCTGTTCTGCAGATACATAAGAGTTTACCAACAATTACAGTATTTTACTTTATTTTTTATAGTTTTATACCATCCCATAGTTATCAGGTCAGTGCGGCGCCAGGCAGGATATGATATTACAACCAGCAAAATCAGCAATTAAACATAATAATCAGCAAACACAGCAATAAAGAACAAGTGACATAATATCCTCTGCTGAAATTAAGATAATTAAATTATGAGATAGTAATGCTTAATTCCATGAAAGTATGTGCCTGTTTAAACATAAAAGTGTGAACTACCCAAAACTTTTAGTTCTTTACCTTAAGATTGGCAGACATGTTTTCTTTTTTGATAATTTGTGTTTGACTGTGAAAATAGAAAATCAGTCATTTATTTGGCAGTTATATTAGAAGAACTGTCATTTCATTTTTCCTCCAATTTATGCATAATTAAAACCTCACAACCCACAGGTCTTCTTTTGGTAAATGTAAATATCCATAGCCCTTCCCACATACAAGCTGTTGACACAAACGGAATAACATGATTAGTTTCACTTTTCTCATCCACAGTGTCAAGCACAAAATGTCCTTTCTATATGCGAAATGACATCTCTGTCTTATGGTGATAAATACTAACATTTGAATAATCCCTGTCGAACATAGTGGAGTGTACTTAAATCTGTTGATTGTATTCTTTAGTTCTGAATGTATTTCCCTTTTGCTTCAGGGAAAATATGATTGTACCACTAAAGCTTGGGATGTACATAACTGCTAGTGAGCATTTCAGAACTGACTGATCAAATTGAAACCCAAATGATTGTTTTATTTTCAGCTACCTCTTTTTAGTTAAATTTGTGATTGCACAAAGTGACATGCCCCTGTGTAGGAGTTACCTAAGAGAACAGGTTAATTATACACAATTTTTTAACATGAGGAGGGGAAAGGAGACAGAATCAAAGAAACTGTGTTATGAGACAAGTTACTTGGTGAGATTTGGCTGTATTAGCATTTGAATTTGGATATCCAGGTCATAGTTACTCAAGAACCTAGCAGGAATTACAGATTAAAATCTCAGTCCAGCCAAATGTTACTAAATACAGTATGTAGCCCAAAACCACAATTGCTTGGTTTTTGCCTGTGCATTTCCCTTATGGGGGTTAATAATAACAGCACACTTAGTTGTAGCTTGTGCAGGTTATTTGCCTCTGCAGTTCCACTAACATGGAACTGTGGTGTTGTGTTTCACCTATTAGCAGGTGGATTTTCCCTGCAATTTTATATGTATTACAGAACCCACTGATTTAAGAAAGGAAGGATGTTTTTGTACAGTATGTAGCCAAAAACCACAATTACTTGGGTTTTGCCTGTGCATTTCCCTTTCTGCACTATGGGGGTTAATAATAACAGCACATTTAGTTGTAACTTGTGCAGATTATTTGCCTCTGCAGTTCCACTAACATGGAACTGTGGTGTTGTGTTTCACCTATTAGCAGGTGGATTTTCCCTGCAATTTTATATGTATTACAGAACCCACTGATTTAAGAAAGGAAGGATGTTTTTTAAAAATTAAAGGATATTGAACTTTTTCAAAGAAAGATACAGTGTCTGGAAGTTGAGTCATGGCAACCGGACTTCCATCTTGTTAGGTTGAAACGTTTCACTACTCATCCAAGTAGCTTCTTCAGGTTGAGGAGAGTTGGTAGGAGATCCCTGATATATCCTACACATTTGTTTCACTTCCCTCTGGTCTGAATAGGCTTGTTAGAAAGACAAAGGACTGGGGGTGAGGGATAATCCCACTTCTGCAGTCCTTCTCATTGTCACAGTGGCTTTTCCGGTGTGTGTGATCCTGATCACAGGATATATTGGGGATCTCCTACCAACTCTCCTCAGACTGAAGAAGCTACTTGGATGAGTAGCAAAACTTTTCAACGTAACGAGAAAGTCCAGTTGCCATGACTCAGCTTCCAGATAACCACACCTGGATGACTGAGAATCTTCACAAAGAGACAGTGTGCATACTACCCTGAGCTATATAACATGATTACCACCAACATATATTTAATTAATGATATGGAGTTTGGTCAGCATACATGGCCCTTAAGACATCCAAAAAGTTATCCATCCAAAGGTTTTAAGGCCCTGCTTTTTGTGTCCCTATGTCGTGATGTCACAAGCATCATAAAATTTATCGGGCCTAACTTGAGAGTGTTGCCAAGAGATTACCAAGCTTTTATTTTTTATTTCTAGTTACCAAGTAAAAACTTTTATTTGGATAGTTTTCTAACTTAACATTTAAGTCAGCCATAGATCTTTTCAGTTTAATATGGTAAAATTATATTGTGATTGTTGTAACAAATAGAAGCCATATTACATAGAAAATGGAATCAGGACTGACTTGTTAATATGCTTTTCTGTGAAAAATGAAACGTAAGATGAGCTGTACTTCTATAAAGAACTTTCTGTTTATTGATGCTTTAAACATGGTAATGCCCCCAAGCTGATTGTTTAATCAACAACAAAGTCTTCAATATTGCTCTGTTATTTTAGCAAATAAAGCTATAAATTATGAGATAAGTTTGTAGCCCCCTCCAAATTTCTAAACAATGCAAGATAATATTTTCAAGTACAGTTATCAGTTACCA